CAAAATATCACGTCAAGTCCACCAACTTATACTCTTGTGCCATTACCTGTAATGCAAAGAAAACTGAGTGGGTCAGGCTTGGGAGCCTGGTGAGCATATAGAGTTTTCAACCCACAATAATATAATTATTATGTTTAGTCATCAAACAATCAACCCAATTACCCATCCCCATTATATTCCTTACTCTTAAGGGTCTACCCTAAGAATCATCTATTCGTTCACTACGTAATAGGTACTAAGACAATAGCTGCCAGGATTCTTTATTTGGCACTAAGACAATAGCTGTCCGGGTTCTTTATTTGGCACTAAGACAATAGCTGCCAGGATTCTTTATTTGGCACTAAGATAATAGCTTCCATGATTCTTTATTTGGCACTAATACAATAGCTTCTAGGGTTCTTTATTTGGCACTAAGACAATAGCTTCCAGGGTTCTTCATTTGGCACTAAGACAATAGCTGTCAGGGTTCCTTATTTGGCACTAAGACAATAGCTGCCAGGGTTCTTTCATCGGGTACTAAATCCATAACTACCAGTGTATGTACTAGGTCCATAGCTATCATCGTCTATCTAACAGTACTAAATCCATAGCTACCAGCGTTCATCTATACGGTACTAAATCCATAACTACCAAGGTTCACCTTTCGTTTCATCCTCAAACTCATCCTTCATCACACACCAACTATTTCGACTACCCATGTTCTACCCAACATATTTGTAGATATAAAATACATATATAGTTTAAATCATTTAAAAATCTGTATAAAACATTCATTTGACAACCATATCAAGTAAACAAACAACGTATAAACACATAGCACGTATGTCATAACAAATACTTCATATCTATGCGGTAGAAGAAAGTAACTACACACTCACTCAAACATATACTTAATACATTCAAACAATACTTGTATTATACTCGTGTTTATGAAAGGGACTATACACCCACACGTATAAACAACTTTATATTATACACATAGCACGTATTTCATAGTAAATACTTAATATTTATGTGTTAGAAGAAAGTGACCACACACTCACCTGATCAGAAGATGATCAGACAGCACTACGACTTGTAGAAGTAGTATTCTTCAGTAGATCTGGAAGATCTTCACAAAAACCGGGATCCTCGTGGGCAGAGCTTCGGCTCAGGAATCTCACTTCTCGGGATCTTCGGGCTTCGGGACTCGTTTCGGGTCTCGGGAATGATACCGGGGCTTCGGGGGGTTAAAATAGGGCTTAGAGAGAGTATCGGGAGTGGGAGAGATGAGAAGGACCAACCAAAATCAGCTAACCCTTGATTTCTATTTATAGGGTGAATTTTCTGGGTTCACCTCGTGAGTTTCTAATATTCACCTCGTGAGCTCGATACATCATTGCGCTCGTCATGGCCACTTGCCCTGGAAGATGTCCATCATCTGTTCACCTCGTGAGTCACTAATGCTCACCTCGTGAACTGCATATGTTCACCTCATGAGTTCTGACAGTTTTGGGGTTTCGCGCCCCGAACTTCAGAAATTCATAACTTTCGAATACGAACTCCGTTTTCGACGTTCTTTATATCCACGTGTAGGTAAAAACAAGATCTACAACTTTCATTTAGACTTCAATGGCTAATTTTGACTTTATTTTTAACATATTATAAATATATTACTTTTATATTATTTTTAGTAGGTCGGGACAGGAAAACTCCGTTATAAATTCATAACTTCTTCATTTAACGTCCGTTTTCGTCTGTCTTTTTATCGTTGGACTACTATTGATGAGATATTCAATTCTCATTTAGAAAGTTTTGGCTAAATATCACTCGACCTCAATCTCGAGTTTCGGGCTGCATACTACTAATGCTGAAACTTTGAAAAATCATAACTTCCTCATACGAAGTCAGAATTGGGCGTTCTTTTCATACACGCTCTCGGTTTAACATATTCTACGAATTTCATTTAGATTGCTAAGGCCAAATATCACTCTAACATAAATTCACTATTTACGTCGCGTTGTGTCGTGTCGGTTCTGTCGCGAAATTTCGACAGGTCATAACTTCTTCGTTATAACTCGGATTTTGGCGTTCTTTATATGCACGGAAACCTTGTGACATATACTACAACTTAGTTAAGATCAATCCTTATAAATAATCTTCCATCAAAAAGTCATTTTTGATATTTATCGTCTTTAAATTGACTAGCCCGGATCTACGGAGTTACAATATATATATATATATATATATATATATATATATATATATATATATATTATATATATATATATATATATATATATATATATATATATATATATATATATATATAGAGTCAAGATCAAATAAGAAGGAAATTTTTGGTAGGAAGGTAAGAAGTTTTTTTTCTACATATTTTTTTGACAAACAAAATCAATGAATCACTAGATGATTAATTTCTAAGATGATTCACAAGAAAAAATTCTCAAAAAAACATCTTTATGATTCATTTATACAATGATTTTGTTGTTATTCACTAAAATTATCATAAAAATGAATTTTTTTCTTAATTTACTTAAAAATGAATCATAAAGATGTTTTTTTGAGAATTTTTTTTTGTGAATCATCTTAGAAATGAATCATCTAGTGATTCATTTATTTTGTTCGTCCAAAAAATATGTAGAAAAAAAACTTCTTACCTTCCTACCAAAAAAAATTTCTTACCGGATCTATATCCTATATAGATATATATATATATCTTGACTTTTATATATGAGAAATAACATATAGTGTGAAAGTAATATAAGTTTTACAAATATAAAAGCACTAAAACATATATTTAAAATTTATATTCAAGAAACATAATAAACACTTATAAAATCATAAAAAAAGAATACATAGAATTTAACATACGCTTAATATATTTGATACATTGAGAACCATAATGAAATTTTCATTTTTTTTTTTTTTTTTTGCAACAAAACTTTTGGTTGAAAGACTAAAATGTGAAAAAATTTGGGAAATCTTGGTAAAGAGCATCATTATGATGCCACTAAAGTGATGATAGATGATTTTACTTTCAGCCTTGCTTCACCTGGCAACATGAGCAATACCATCAAGGCTACTCTCACCCTGGAGCCAATGAGCTTTTGATTATCTGTGAAGGTACCATGTTGGTTGGATTCATATCTTCTCATGATGATATTGTATACTCCCAAGACATTACAAAAAGAGGATGGTTTGTTTGTCCCTTTCCAAGTGAACTATTGCATTCTGTAAATTCGATTCAGTAATTCAGTGCATTGGATTTGGCCTTGTTTGCTACAGTTTGTCAATGGAATTGGTATCAAATATAACTCTCATGGATGTAGAAGAAGTTAAGAAACTCAAAGTGTCTTCTTGTTGAATCTTGTGTTAAGGTTTTTTTAGGGTGTGTTTAGTTCTTGATTTGTTAACATCTTGGTGATGTCGTTGTTGTTTGTTTATTGTGGTACCAATCATCTTCGGTAAAGCCGAAATGAGAGAGATATTTAACCAGCTTAAATATTTAGAATGAAAGTTTGGTAGATCTCTTCTAGCAAAAGAAAAAGAAACAAATCTTATAGAGAAAAGTCAGAAAAACATTTTGTATTTAGCAATACCTTCCTACATATACAAGATTACGTGTATCTCCATAAGACATCATTTTTCTACATGGGACAAAACTAGGATGTAGATTACGTGCATCTAACATAAGACTATTTGAACTTTCATGATCCACAAGACCAAGTTTTTCTACATCCGACAAATCTATGATGGATAACCTTTTAAGAGCTATTTTAAGCACATTCATATGTTTTGCACATGTCTCTTTTACAAACAAAAGAATGTAATTCTTGTCCTATCAACATCTACATCAATCCCAATCCAATGCATAATATACCATGTTATGTGATGTCATATCCTAAGCTAAGTAATATATTGAACTTAAACCTTAGCCATTCAAAAGAAGAAGCATGAATGCTATATGATATAATTATAAATTTAGGAACAAGTATTACATTGCTTCTATTCATGTATTATCCTATATATATATATATATATAATATATATATATATATTATATATATATATATATATATATATATATATATATATATATAATATATATATATATATATATATTATATAATATAAAATAAACCAAAAGTTAACCTTCTTACAGCCTACGCCAATTCTAAAATTTCGACCTAAGCTGCTGCTCAAATTACTTCCACAAGCTTCTCAAGTCGATCAGATTGACCTCAATATCCTCATGTTTCAATATTTTCATCCATCCATCAATCACCAACTTCTTTCATTTCATATTAATTCCACCCACAATTCTTCTTAACATTCTACTCAATTTAGAAACAATATCATCCTTACTTTTCATGTGTTCTATCACATATACATCCAGGAAGTGGATTTGCATAAAAACTCTCTTCTAATTTCGGAAACTCCCCTTGTTCCCTCACATATGGACCTCCATCTCTCTTCTCATGAAGCTTCTTCACTTCCAAACTAAACTCCTCCCAAGATTTCTTCCCTTCATCCAATTCATCCACAAGCTTAACAAAATTCATCCTGCATCAACAAAAAAAACAAATTGATTTTACACAAAAACAACAACATAGTATGTAAAGTGAAGTAAAGTAAAGTAATAATATTAAATTACCTATCAGGATTGATAGTTTTCTTGAAATCCTCAAATCTCCTATGCCCTTGAACAGCCTTTGCCATATTCCCATCATAAGTATAAACAAAAACATCACTTTGAAGGGCGATTACGTAATCTAAACCAGCCAACATGTTTTGGTGATTCATGAAGGGTTTCAACTCTCTTTGAGTTGAAAGAGTGAAATGTGAGAAAATGTTAGGGAAATCTTGATTGAGAGCACCCATTGTTCCTTTTCCATAAGCTTCTCCAGCTACTAAAATAGATTCTTGTGGTTGAAGGGAACCCTAATCCTTTGAGTAAAAGAGAAGTCTCTCTTGGAGTCAAAGGGCATCCACCAAGTTGTCTTTTTTCTGAAGCATCAATTTCTTTTTCTTTCCAATGACTCACTTCATATCTCATTCTACGAAGCTCATTGTCTTCTTCTGATGTTAAGTTGTGGCTACACCCTGTAAATGCTAGCATGTCCTTCTCATATCTAGAAGAAATAAAGATTGTCTTTTAAGTCAAAAAAATAATAATAATAAAAGAGGGTGTTTGGATATGGTGATAAATACCTCAAATGCAATGCAAGATAAGGGCTTCCATTTTGTCTCATTCTTGCAACCAAAGTCTTTCCTAATTCCTCAATTGGTGCAGAATACTTTAATGCGTTGTAATTGACACGACACCTTAACTTCTGAATGGAATTCGGGATTCCATTGTTGGCGATTCTGGAATCAGTATGTGTGAAATAACTACTTTGTGATGTTTCAGAAGTGGCACAATCTCCATTTTGTAATAACTAACCTGAGACACAAAGAGTTAAAAAGATGACTTCAAAGAAAAGACAAAAACTTTATAATAAAAGGCCAAGAAAATAGTCAATGGAGGGTCAAAATCAAACCTTTGACCATGAAATTGGAGTCTTGGAAAACGGTTCGATTCCAGCATAAACAGGTGGCAATTCCTCAACTATGTGCACATCTTCTTTTAAGGTTTCGATAAAATGTTGCCAATCAAACAGATCTTTGAATCCACTGAAAATATATAATATAAATCAATATATAATTTTCAGATTGCTAAATTCAAGAAAAACAAAAATACAAAACCTTTCATCAGCCCAATAGGAAGTGTGATCAAGGGAAGGAAGAACTAATGTGGCCTTCATAATCTTTGCAACAGCAACCATATCACATATCTGCAATACAAATTACAAATATATTATTAGATTAATAGATAATTTTGAGTACAATTAAGATATAATTACAAACATTGTATAATTTATTAGTATATAAATGAATCAGACCCCAAATCTCATTTGATTTAAGCCTCCATTTGCATTAATAAGAAGGTAACCATTAGTCTTGTCATCCAACCCTACAAGAAAAGGAAGAAAGTTAACCAATAGACTCGAGGTCAAAATTAAAAGTCAAACTTTATGTGAAACTTACTCTTTTGACTTTTTGGTCGATCAATGCACCGAGTGTAATTACCACTATTGGGTTTACTCCACACACCTGTGAACTAAAATCATATGATTTCATAAACAATTTGTTTCATTGATGATAAAATATATTTGAAAATGTTTAAAATGTGTAGACTTACATCATCTTTATGATACTGATCAGCAACAATACCTGAAGCTACCATTTTTAGAGTTTTGTGCACATCATTTTCTTCAACTCCAATATGATTTTTATTTTCTTGATATCTATTGTCGTGAGATATATGATCCCTTAAGTTCTTATAAGAGATTGATGAATCCCAGTAATCCTAATTTGATACAAATGTAAGAAAATATGAAGTTATCAAAATTGAGCCAAAAGGTTAATGTTTATGGATGAAAGTCCAAATTGTATGCAATTTTCTTATGTTTTCTAGTGGTTCTTTAAATAATGGAGAAGGTTATTGGAAACAAACATCAGTTAAAACAAAAACAGGATAAAAACAAAAGGTAAACACAAATATGCTGTAACACAAACAATGGGGATAATGTGAGTGACAGCTTCTATTGACATCAAACAAATTGTAAAATATGAATATCCAAAGATGTTTCTATATAACAATAAGATATAATATTCATCTTCAGATAAAAACATAGCAACATAATGGTAAAAGTTCTATAAAAACCAAAAAGTTGTTCAACTACTGCACTTATAGGTTTTTCTTCTTTTAGTATTAGCTTTATGATCTCACCAATATTATGAGCTTCGTACCAATAAAATCTGCATAGTCCTTAGATTGTGAGTTAAGTGAAACTAAATTACACCCAAAAAGAAGATATATATATATATATATATATATATATATATATATATAGCTTTCTGCTATGGTGTCAATATCAGTGTAATATTCTTCTGAATAAAAGAAAGATTCAAACAAGCACAAAAACTTGTTTAACCTACTGTAGTCAGATTCCCCATTTAATATATTGTTCGGAAGGTTGTTCACTTCATCGGATAAAGACCACGCAACAGAGCATCTTTGATTATATCGTATGTATATATAAATGCGATTTGAGTGTAAGTAATGAAAATTATCAAGAGATGAACCAACCTGATCAAACCCAATTCTTTCGATGGCAGATCCAAACCATCCATTAACAGAAACCTTCAAGATTCCCAAAAACAAACAGAAGCCACAAAACAGGAAGAACATCCAGTGTCCTAGCAGTTTTTTCTTCTCTACTCCACCTAATCCAAACGCCTCAACAAAATCAACGTTACCGGATCCGCCACTGGAGCCGCTTCTCCTTGTTTGAATCCGTTGGGTCAAACGGGTCTGCTTCTTTTCAGGTACCGAGTCAAACCCTTCAGCGAGTTCAGATCTAGGTGAGTTAAGTGGAACATCAATCTCATGGTGCGTATTATTAGCGTTAGTGTTGTTGGTGTTGCGTTTGAATGATTGAGCACGGCGAGTCATCGGACCAGAAAATCTAGGGCTGTTAACTCGATGAGCAAGTCCATCGGCGCCGGCAGTGGTGGAGGTGGAGGCCTGGTAGTGATTATGGTTGTGATTGTTGTTGGCCATGGATATATGATAGATGAGCTGGGAGATTGATGATGTATTTATGAATCAAGGGACCCAAATTGAATAAATGGAAGGTAATTGGTGCAGTTATTCAGTAGTATATTGGTTGATTTGAGGATAGATCGCCATTAATGGAGGAATCCGAGTGAAAAAGAACCAATTGAGTGTGTATATCGTATACAGGCTGTAACATTGATGATGCCATGGTGTGAATATGAGGAATTTGTCATGGACCTTAAATTCTCAAATCGTTGAAAGATTATTCCCAGTTACCATTAATAACCAAAACATATTAAAGTAATAACTTGATGTTTATCGATAAAAGAAGTAGATTTTTATGAGGCAAAAAGACGGACCATCCATAAAATTCTCAAATGCCGCCAGAGATGACTTTCATTAAAAGGCACAAATAATTTAGAAATACCTATTTTTTTTATTTTTTTATCTAGGGTTAAGGTTAGCTTATATTAAAAAGCACATGTAATTGAAGATTTAGTTGCAATTAGAAATTGAAAATATCCATGTATTCTTTATTTATACTTGTTATATTGAAAGTATTAATCCAATATTATAATTTTGTGACAAAACTGTAGGATTAGCATGTTGTATTCAAAAAAAAAAAAAAAAAAAAAAAAAAAAACTTTGGATATAAAATCCAAAAATTTCCAACTTTGAAAAGTGATTTTATCATTTTAACTTCTTTTGGTATTTAAATAATTAAAAATAAAAAATAAAAACTAAAATCTCTCTCTCTCTCTCTCTCTCTCTCTCTCTCTCTCTCCACACATCAAAGTTAAAACACCCCACCCTCGTTTTTCTTCTTCCCTTGTTGCCATCTACCCCCATCTCTTTAGCTCTCGTTACAGATATAGCCTCACACCATTATCCTAGTCACCAAAGTAGGGATGTTATTCGGGTCGGAACCGAACCCGAATAAACCGAAAACCGAATAAGGGTAATTATATGAACTGAAAACCAAACCAAATAAGCAATACGGGTTCGGTTCGGTTCGAGTATTCGATTCGGTTCGGTTTCGGCACGAATAACCCAAATAACATGTACAAGATGATTAAGGAGCCAAATAACCCAAATAACATTTACAATGTGATTATAAATATTGTATTTTGTATGACTTTTGTAGCTTATGATAAACACGAATAACACGAATTAACTATTCTTGATATATAAAATGTAAAATCCAACCACCAAATTCTTAAGATATAGTTATTAAGCAATATATTAAACACTAAACATTAAACATCTAAAACACTCAAAAATCTATTTATAAGTATATAAGTTAAACATTAAACATTACGTGAGTATTTTGGGTAACGATCGATAGAATACAAGACCGAATAAGCAATCGTGCAAGGGGAAAAAATGTGACTTTTCATATTCGATTCAGTCCTTTTTGACCAATAAAACCCTTATTCGGGTAACCCGGACCGAATAACCCGAAAACCGAATAAGCCTTATATAGATACCCGGAAACCGAATCGAATTGCTTATTCACGGCTAGTTCGGTTTGGTTCGGTTCGGGTTTTCGGGCGAAATTCTCATCCCTACACCAAAGCTTGAGGACCACTATTGTCGAGTACATATTTATCCCACGTGCAATTCATTATTCCTAAAACGAGATTTTGAGACCCACTCACCCACTTGCAATTTGTTCTCGCCGGACATCAAATTCGAATCCTATCTATAATTTTTTTTCTCTCCCAAAAATCATATATGACACCCATTGCTTAATGTTCAGACGTTGGAGGCATCTGGTTATTTTCAAGCTAGTATTTCAGAGTCACACCCCTAATAACTACCTTTACCTCCTCTTTTGTGAGGGATGATAACAGGGAAGAAAATATGATGGTGGATGTGGAAGCTACAGTGGAAGCTAGAGTGGTAGGATGGCGAGAATGGTGATGATTTAAGGTGAAATGATGATGAACAGGAATAGGGGTCGGAGATGAAGAGATGGGGTCTCAACGATTTTTTTACTAAACTCACCAAAACCAAAATCTATGTAATCTGATGATGCAGTTATGATTTGCTTATTTGTGGAGATTTATTTTGATTCTTGTGTGGATTTACAAATCTTGAAAATCCAACTTAGTTTGCTCCTAAGTATGAATATAGGTTCCTTAGAGAGAGAGAGAGAGAGATTTTAGTTTTTAATTTTTATTTTTAATTATTTAAATACCAAAATAAATAAAGAAAATAGAAAAAAAATGGTAAAGTTGACTTTTCAAATGTATTAGGGACAAAAAAAACCTTGATTTTTAGACTTTTCATGCAAGTTGGAAACTTTTTGGACCCTCTCCAAATATTTTTGAGTACCTAGTAACCAATATTGTAGATTTGTCTAATTTTGTTTTACAATTTTATACTTATCATGACAATCACAATTAAATCTTCTTCATTTTAAATCTTTTTAATTTGGAAAACTTTAAATAGTCAACATTTAGTTAGAACATTATGTATAACATCACTTCAAATGTCACACCCATCACCTCCATTTAACACTGTCTTAACACCATATAAGAAATGATGTTCCTATATTATAATATGTTATAACATGTTAAGAGGTAGAAAGAGAAAAATAGTTTTGATTGGTTCTGAATTCTTGTTTCGATATGTTGTAACGCCAACAGAAGCATCATAACAAGCAATGGGGCGATGTTCTCCATGTTATGACGGCGTTATGGAGCTACCACCTTAGCAATAATGACATTATGAAGACCCATATCCTATGCTCTTAGAATCATCATGTTTTTTTTTTCAATCCAACGATCAAGAATTGCTTTTATATTTTCACAATATTTATCAGATCATCTATTACCATCATAACTCTAAATAGTTATGTGTATATTATGCATCAAGTTAGCAAATATAAAATTAGTAATGGGATATAGTTTAGTGGAATAACAGTAAAAAGACTATTTTTTAAAGCTTGTTTTCTCTATTTGATAAATATCTTGAATGATAACTTCAAAACATAATGAATTTCCTTATACTATACAAGTTTTGAATTATCTTTAGTGACAAAAAAATTGTTTCAAAATTGTAAATTGCAAACTATCCATAAATTTCTAAATACTATTATTTGTGAATTATTTTTGTCAACTATAAACAACTGAGTCACATTTAAAGGTTATTAGTTATTAGTCATTTTTTTTTGAAAATTTATATAACAAAAATTTTAAAAAAAGTTAAATATGAAGTTCTAAAAGTCTAGGAAGTTTGAATTTATAAGAAAAAGAATTTAATAATTGAAATGTAATGTTTATTTTGTTATTTTTAACTTTTTATTTCTCTTTTAAATTTAAACATAATTTAAATAAATAAATAAAATAATTGGAATCAATTTAGATATTTAGAAATTAAAAGGATTTTTATATTAATGAAATTGATATGCATTTATTATTATATTTATTACAATTATTAGAATATTGTGTTGAATTTAATAAAATAGAAAAACCATAAAATGACAATTGAAAAAAAAATCAAAAAATCTTAAAAAATAACATGTATCAAATGCAATGAAATCATGACAAGTGACAAAAATCTGTATTTATTGAGTTAGATTAGATGCTTATGATTCTTTATTGTATATTATGTAGTTTTGTAATCTTCAAATATCCATCTTGAATATATTGAAAGATAAATTCCACACTTCAAAAAATAATAATAATAATAATAATAATAATAATAATAATAATAATAATAATAATAATAATAATAATAATACACATCCTTAATAAATATCAATAAATCATATTTATCCAACCTAATCTCTAAATATTATATATATCATTCATAAGTTCACAAAAATATCACATATAACCAAATCCTATTTTTAATATATATATATATATATATATATATATATATATATATATATATATATATATATATATATATATATATATATATATATATATATAAGAATATAGAATGGCCATAACACCCTCTATAAAATAAGATCATCCGAAATACCTACCACTAACCACTAATATGGTGGATGTCACATTAACACCATATCTAACCACTAAACTCGTGGTATACCTACCACTAAAACACCACTCTACATCATTTTTTATTTAAAATTAAATTAAAAAAATACAATAAACATAGATTTTGTAACATTCAGTTCTAGAATGTTTCCAATTTCAGGATAACGAACCATAATTTAATCAAGTATGGTTCTTAAGCTTCCAAGGTGATAAAGTTTAGATATTATTAGGTGTTTATAATGTTTCTTAAATGATTTAAACCTTTAAAGTGTGCTTTGAAGCCAAAAGGTAGAATGGGAAAGTAACATTTTAGACTCTTTGGATGTATTAGAGGATTAAGTTCGTTATTCGTTAAGTAAAAAGTAATTAGATAGGATTATGATGCTTGTTAATACCTTCGTGTGTATATAAAGAACACTGAAAATGGATTTAAAGCGAAGAAGTTACGATTTTTTAAAGTTTGAATGAAATAAGTAAAAGCATGTCGCCATGGCGTGGTGAGAAGGTCACCACAGTATGGTAAGATGTGCATCCCAGGCCCATAAATTTAGTTTTTTCCCCATATTTAAAGGATTAGTTCAATGTTTGAGGTCATTTTTCAGCCTCCAACACTTCAAGAGCTCCTTGGGAGCAAACCATATCCTCCCTTTCACCATTTTGATCCTCTTATCTCTCACCTCTCATCCATTTTGTGTGATTTTGGTGACTTTTTATATTGAGTTTCTTACAAGATTGGGTATTGGAGATTTTCATTAGAATATCTCGACTTTCATCTACCTTTTACACCTTTGTAACCTGCAAAGATCATTGCTTTACTATATTTCATCTTTGGACTAATGAGATAATGGTATTTTAGTCCATAATTTGGTATTTTTGGTCCTCTTAATGGTTTGTTCTTTGGAGTTTGGACAACTTCATGATCTTATATTCATAATGGACTTCAGTTCTGACCTTTTGGTTGAGCTTAGAGAGCATGCATGAGCTTTTTTTCTTAAATGATATAATTACATGTGAATCTTAATATATATATATATATATATATATATATATATATATATATATATATATATATAGACACACACACACATGCATTTTTGTAAGTGTTCTTGCATTAATCAATTTTTTTTAATTTTCTTGTATATTTGGAAGAATTTATGAAAAATATTGAAGAAAATATAGAGATCTTGACTCGAATAAAGATTTAATGTTACGAGTTTATAGTTTTGTTCACACGTTTTTTTTTTGTTTCAAACATAGATTGTATATATATTGGACCAAGTTCGTGCATTGGAGAATGAGATGCTTCCTAAATTAAAGCATCAAGGACTCGATATCAAACCCAAGATTCTGATTGTACGTATACTTTTATTTCTAGTCATATTTTAACAGCATTCTGAATTTGTTTATAAAACCTTGTGATGTTTTAACTTATTTAAGGTGA